AACCAGTACATTTATGTTTGTTAGGACAAATCAGCAAAAAACTGCAACTATCCCAGTAAAAAATGGGACGTCTGGTCACCCTGCTCCTAGTATGTCTCCTTGCAGTCTGTGCTCCCAGTTCTCTCCCCCATCCTTCACTTATCTGATCTTACTCCCCCACAGATTTAATCAGCAGAGAGAGGCAGAGATAACACACAGTGACCGCTATTGGCCGGTGCCGGTACTTTGATTTAAAAACACCTCACTTATACAAAAAATAACTGGTGTTTAGTTACAATATATGAGTACATATGATGTGATACAGTACATTGCATAAGCCTTTCACAACATCAATGTTCCCCATTCTTGGCAGGTCCTACTCTAGCAACCTAATGACTGCTCTGATGAAATTAATCCACTTACTTCTGTAATCGATGCTCCTAGTGCTTACCAAGGACCATCAGCACCGCACCAGACACCATAAGCACCGCAGACCCCACGACTCTCCGTAGCTTGGTTGGGGTCTTGCCGTCTCCTACCCACCCTGGACCTACAACAAGGCTCCAGGTTCCAGTGGGTGAACCTCTCTTTCCCCAGAGAGTGAAGCAGGAATAGGAACAAGCTCTCACAAGAGCTTAGTGATTATTCAAGGGAGTATGAATTATAGCTGTCGTGATTATAGCTGTCCCTCCCAAACACGAGGCGAGGCTGTGAGTTGAGGGTCAAATAGAACTGAAGGTTTAATGGGACAGCTGCTTCTTTTATACAGTATTTCCCCACAAGGTTACCGCCCACATGGATCTTGTGGGGCACAGGCCATGAAATGCATAATCCAATAAAAAAACAGAGTTTTACATTTGAACATTCCCAGTTACTGTACACAAACCCTCCCCTTTGCCTATGATACAATGAACAAATACAATGGACTAACTCAATTAACTTTAGCAGAAAAAACATACATTTTTACAAACACCAAAAGTACCCCAAAATTCAACAAATCTCCACAACCCCTGATCTGGGTGAACAACATATCCAAAAATCACCTAGATCGGTTCAGGGGTTCAGGAATTTCCTGGAAATCTTATTTTTGCCCCACCGTGTACATGGTCCCATGCCCAAAACAGTTCCATACACTAGACAGCAAAACACTGCCAAACAATTTAAGATGGCCACCACCGCCACATGTTTGAATCTGTTCAAGTTAGAAGTCCAAGGGGCAGAAACAGTACTTTTGAATATGGGTTTTCACAGGGCCCATAGTCCCAGGGTAGGAGGCGGGCAAGCAGGCCCCTCCAAAAACCAGTGGCGAAGTGTAGTTCGTCACAACTTCCTCCTGGGACTCTCTGCAGTGCAAGGTCAAATAGGACCCAGGAATGAGGCACCTGTGAAAATGGAGAGATGTAAAACCAACGAGTTGGCTTGGACTTTCCATTATATGAAAGCACGAGGCTGCACTCATCAGAACATCTATACATTATAGAGTGCTGCTAGGGCCACTTCATACAACATACAACATCCAGTGCACTCACTCATTCACTAAACAGCAATTTCAAGTTTCACAGAATGTAATAGTTTAATTTAAAAAACCCTCACCTAGGAATAAAACTATTTAGTTACAGTATACGATCACACATTGCATGACTCTGGCTAATATGAGAGGTTAGGGCTTAGATATTGTTGAGGAAAGAAAGTAGAGAACAATAGCATGTTAGAGAGTAAATATACATAAAACAATACATAATCATTTATATCCCAGATTAATTGTTGTGAGAAAACCAAACCCAATCATCTGTGCACATACTAATCCAAAACTGAAATCGAAAGAGGGTAGGGGAAGAGATCATGTTCCCCAATCCATGATCAGCAGTAGTGCAATGGCTTCTAAGAATTGGAAGGGGTAGAAAAATTAAGAAAAATACCCCTCTCTGTCTCATTAGAGATATCTTTTTCTGAAGCTTAAGGAAGCAAGGTGAATAGTCAGTATAGGACCCACCTAGGAGGTTTGCCTTGACTTGGCAGGTGGGCTTCGATCTAGTGGCCATTGGAGTTACTAGATAACCTCAATTTATTTAAATATGCATAGGGATTTGGGAAGTGCGCAGGTAACTTTTTCTTTGTTTTTTTTACTGTATATTATATAATATAATGAATAGTAATTGAGATGCAAGAGGGGTGCAGCCACATAATCTCAGTGTTACTCACTATTTTCCAGATTTTTAACTATTAACATAGATCCAAGAAATGAAAGGAGAGGAAGTCTCAGGATCCAGAATCCTCTATTAGCATAACGTTCCTATCTGTATAAGTTAATTATAGCTACCATGCTTAAGTTCTTTATATAGGTCTCGTAAGGTATTAAACAGAAGTTACTGTAGCTCTCTAAAGAGGCTTTTGGAAAAAGAAAAAGGCCACCGGTTTGCTGTAACCATATATAAATTAGGTGTGGGGAGGTTAAGGGGAGGGGGCGGAGCCTACCCTTTGTAGTGGATGAACGTGTGTTCCTTTAACTCCTTCAAAATAGTAAAATTTCAACATATTATGAGCGTTATAATGACTAGAACTGAATAATTATTGTGAACCAGCCTCACCATATTAGGGATGGGCCGCAAATCCAAGAAAGCCCGACAAGACAAACCCAGACTGGGGGCGATATTGGCGACTTCTTCTGCCAGGTCCAGAGTGTGCTGGGCCTTCTGTGGCGACCTTACTTGGCTGTTCTGACTCCTCGGAGGAGCTGTAGGCAGATGCGGAAGATTACATTCTGCCTGCGTGACCAGCAACAGCCAGCGTCCCACAGCAGATTGACTCCACACCAGTCACCATGACCATAATGAAGGCACTACTGGCTGAACTGCAATCTACGATCTTGGTGGCCCTTCACCACCATATTAAGGTGGCACAATATCCTCTATAGATGGACTAACAGCAGCTCACAGCTAACCATTCGGGATCTCACCAAGGCACAGGCTGTGCTGGTGACCCTTGGCTTACCACAAGAAGTATTCTGGGGACCCATTCTGCTGAGCCTACATATCGCTGGGATCCAACCACGGTTATACCGTTCATCCTACAAAGAACCAGTGACAATCCCTATGTTGCTGTAGAAACCTGATGCCTATACACAGAAAGAAGTTCCTCCACTACTGCCACCTATAGGCTGAGCAATGAGGATGTTGGAGATTGTGCCAGTAGTCAAAACAGTCCGGTTGGACAGGAAATATTAGATTCCTCACCATCCCAGGGAAGTGACCACCAGCCCAGGACCTCAACATCCAGCATCTTCACCTCCAAGATCGTCCGAGACCAGCCACTGCAACAATCGGTTTGCATAACCAAAGAATTTCTGCACAAACTTTCAAAAACCATCTGCATGCTCGTCATCCTCATTGGGTTCTCAACTTGACTGCAGTTTGTCATCATAACCAACTTGAGTGAGCAAATGCTCACATTCAATAGCATCTGGCACTTTGTAGAGGTGTTCTTTTCATGGATGAATCCCGGTTTTCACTGTACTGGGCAGATGGCAGACAGCGTGTATGGCGTTGTGTGGGTGAGCGGTTTGCTGATGTCATCGGCGCGGATCGAGTGGCCCATGGTGGCGGTGGGGTTATGGTATGGGTATGGGTATGTGTATGTTATGGACAACGAACACAGGTGCATTTTATTGATGGTATTTTGAATGCACAGAGATACCGTGACGAGATCCTGAGGCCCATTGTTGTGCTATTCATCCACGACCATCACCAGCATGAAAATGCATGGCCCCATGTTGCAAGGATCTGTACACAATTCCTGGAAGTTGAAAACATCCCAGTTCATGCATGACCAGCATTCTCACCCATTGAGGATGTTTGAGATGCTCTTAATCGGCGTATATGACTGCGTGTTTCAGGTCCTGCCAATATCCAGCAACTTCACACAGCCATTGAACATTCCACAGGCCACAATCAACAACCTGATTAACTCTATGCAAAGGAGATGTGTTGCACTGCGTGAGACAAATGGTGTCACACCAGATACTGACTGGTTTTCGGACTCCTCCTGGACCCCCCCAATACAGTAAAGTGGCACATTTTAGAATGGCCTTTTATTGTGGCCAGCCTACGGCACACTTGTGCAATAGTCATGCTGTGTAATCAGCAACTTGATATGCCACACCTGTGAGGTGGATGGATTAGCTCAGCAAAGGAGAAGTGCCTTCTATGGCCTTTTATAGGCCTTTTGTGTACATAGAAAAAGTCTTAGATTTTTGAGTTCAGCTCATGAAAAATTGGGGCAAAAACAAAAGTGTTGCATTTTGTTCAGTGTAAATGGGTGAGAGCCCAAAATAACCCAAAATGTTCCATATATCCATCTTCACTTTATCAGTTTTTTATCTTAAACTGCAGTGGGCGGGTAATAATCCTGTGTTTTCACAAAAACTTGACAAGAGTATGCGAAGGAGGCCATTCTATAATCAGGAGATAATTGAGTACAATTTACTGATTTTTAATCATTAGCAGACATCAAATATATTTAAGAAAATTATAAATATATACCACAAAAACAAAATATCATAAACTTTGAAAGAAATTGCTTAAACAAATTGCTGTACAATAAGGTTCAAAATATACCATATACTACAGGAGACGCACTTCAAGGGGAATATAGGACCTACACTCTGAGATTCGAGATACCCCACTGGATACTTCGCGAACCACGAAACAGCCAAGAAGGCTGGAGTAGCAATCTTATTTGCAAAAACAGTCTCGTTCGAATGCAAGGAGAGATCCCATGGGGCACTATCTGTTTGTCAAAGGCACGATTGCAGACACCAAATACACCTTCGCTAGCATATACGCACCCGACAACATTGCTTTCTGAGGAGCACACTGCATAGACTGGATCAATTCAGAGAGGGTCTACTCTTGGTGGCGGGAGACTTGAATATGGCCCTGGAACCACGGTTGGACACATCCAGGGGTGTCAGCTCACCTCAGAGCCTGAGAGAAGCAAGGTAGACACTGCAGGAGGCGGGCCTCATGGACAGCTGGCAGTTACTTCACACCGTGAACCATGACTATTCCTACTTTTCTACAGTGCACCAAAGATATAGCAGATTGGACTACATCCTACTAGCGCAAGAGTTTTTGCCGATGCACATATCAGCGGATAAAACGATGGCGGGCTGGTCGGATCATGCGCCCATATCAACCTATTTAAAATCCCCCCTGTTCAGACCCAGAGGATACCAATGGAAGTTGAACGAATCCATATTAGCAGAGATACCCATGGTGGCGGACCTTCGCACCGTCATCACCACATACTTCGAGGAGAACGATACGCTAGACACCCCGCCGCTGACAACTTGGGAGGCACACAAATGTGTCGTAAGGGGACACCTAATCAAGGTGTGCACACAGAGGAAAAGAGACCAGAAGAGACACATGGAAGAACTAACTCATAAAATCGAAGAGCTGGAGGACACGCACAAAACCTCCCAAACTGATGATACCTACAGGGCACTGCTTGAAGCCAGACAAGCTCTCAGGGAACTCCTATCCCAAAAACTACAACACACGATTCGCAAGTCCAAATGCTTTTTCTATGAATATTCGAACAAATGCTGGAGGCTCCTAGCAAGAGCGCTGCAAAGACAAAGGGGTATGAGTCACATCACCAAATTTAAACCAAAAGAGGGTCCGGCTACCCACCTACAGGACAAAATGACAGCAGAATTCCATAAATATTACATGGACCTATACAATTTAAGATGCCAGGAATCTCCGGAGGAGGAACGACAAAGATCAGCACGGATGACAGCATATTTGCAACAACATGTCTCGAAGACACTGAACGAAGTGAAAGCGGCGGAGCTAGAGGCGCCCATTACTGGAACTGCAGGCGGCCCTGAAGTCCACCAAGCTGAATAAAGCCCCAGGCCTGGACGGACTGCCGGCCAGATACATCAAAGAGGTCGGAGACGTGCTTATGCCACAGCTCCTTAAAAGCATAAACTCAATACGAGAGAGAGTCACATTCCCCAGACACTCCCTAACAGCAACGGTGACAAGTATCCCGAAGGAGGGGAAGGATCCAACGCAGTTTGCAAGCTACAGGCCGATATCCCTCCTGAATGCAGACCTGAAGCTCTTCACCAAAGTCTTGGCCACACGAATTCAGAGACTTCTCCCGGAACTGGTGGACCCAGACCAGGTGGGATTTATCCCCGGAAGGGAAGCGAGAGATAATACTACCAGAGCATTGAACATCATCCACGTGGCGAGACAGCTGAAACAACGAACCCTTCTCCTATCCACGGATGCGAAGAAGGCATTTGACCACGTGGATTGGCAATACATGTCTGCCACCCTAGAACAGATGGGGTTCGGCCCCTGCATACTAGCATGGATCACGTCACTGTACACAATACAGAATGCTGGGATACGAATCAACAAGGCCCTTTCGCCAATGTTGCAGATTCAAAATGGGACGAGACAGGGGTGCACACTCTCCCATGGTACGCTGGTCCAGCCTATGTGTCTCCTGGTTCAGCAGAATGAATGCTGTTAAAATGAGCCTCCTTCCCAGATTACTGTATTTATTTCAAATGGTCTCGATCAGCCTACCCACATCTTTCTTCCAACACTAGACTCGGATATTTCTACGTTTATATGGCGCAACCAACCGCCCAGGATTCGTAGGACTCTGCTACACAGACCGAAGGAACGGGTCTCCCCTCAAAGAGGAACTACCACAGAGCCACACACCTATTACGCATTTTCGAATGGCACATACCACACACGCCCAAGCACTGGATACATATAGAAAGGGCTCTGATGGAGGAGAGGATTCCGGCACTAGTTTGGATATACGAACTCATAAAGGATACCCCAGCCCATAACCACCCACTCATCGGAACCACACTGAACATCTGGAGAGCAATACGGATGAAATTTATAACCCCGAGGAGGCAGGGGGACTCCTACCAAAAGAGGTTGCTGCTTTCGGTGGAGCAGACCGAATCCACATGCACCAATGGTGCACCACGGTGGTGCTCAAACAATTGCCTGACTTACTAGTGGATGGGACCCCAACAGGTTTGGAGAGATTTCGATACTTCCAAGTCAAGACCTACTACAATGACCAACAGGGGAGACGCCTAAGACCCCTTACAGAATTCGAGCAACACTGCAAAAGTGGGTCACATATTCCCCGGGAAATTCGGTCCTCTACACACTCCTCAGGTCAGCGGTCCTACTAGAACTGGCGAAACATGCAGCACGATGGAAGAGGGCGACAGGAACAGAGCTTACTGACTCCCAGTGGACTAAAATATATATACTCACACACCAAAGCTCCATGTACTACAAGTTGCAAAAACTAGATTACAAATTACTCATTGGATGGTACCGCACCCCAGAAAGGCTTCATCGCATGTTGCCAGCCGTCCTAGATACATGCTGAAAATGCGAAGAGAGACCAGGAACAGACCTCCCTATATGGTGGTCTTGCGATAAGATAGCCCCCTTCTGAAAGGAGATCCATGGGACAATACAGAAGATACTGGACACCGACCTCCCACTCCAACCACTTTCGATGCTACTCCACCACATCCAGACATCACTCTCACAGTATAAAAAATCCCTGACAAAACACCTCCTCAACGCAGCAAAGATGCTGATTCAGAGCAGATGGAGATTAGATCAGACACCCACACTCAGGCAATGGATGGATAAAGTTGAAGAGCTACACGAGATGGAGAGGCTCACAGCGGCGATAAGAGACGATATGGAAAAATACAGTGCTGGACCCCCTGGATTCTCTATCTGGCCAGGAGCTAAGTGGAGTGCGCGGAGCTCTGCGCTGTGGACTGAGACCCGCGGACCCCATGTGAGAGGCTGGGCGGGCTTTGCATCATCTGTGGGGGCGCGGGGTGGCTTGGGACCTGCAGGGGGAGCCCCTCAGCCTTCCCACTGCTTCTTCACTTACGCACTATCCTTCCCTCCCATGTCCCTCCACCCAGCTGAGAGACGAGCCGAGCAGAGGCAGGACAATAAATAACCAACTTGACTCGACCCACTAAGGGACGCACAGATAGGCATACAGATAGTCCACTAGTACAGGAAACATTTGAATGAGAAGAGAAGACTCCCCTATGAACCTTAGGGAAACAAACCACACACAAAAACCTGAACACACTTAGTACGAGGAGTCAAATAAGTACACGGCTCACAGACATGACAGGACAAGATGAGACGACTGGTCCCCTTGGGGCACAAGCCCCAGGCAATAGCCACAGAATAGCAATAGATGGGTCTGGTGCATAAAACTACAAAGGACGTACGGTAAACCCTATAGAGATGAACCGAGCCTACCTTTGCGCTACCTACTCATAACACGCTCAAGCACTATAGATGAAACTAACCATGATAATGCCATACCTCGAATGGTCCACACACAAAACTGTAAATTACTCAGGCAAATATCTTGGGCATGGAAAAGCTTCTATAAATGTGTTCATAACAAATGTAACTGTACTTTTTTATTGCAAAAAAAAACAATACCATATAACTTTCCCCTGTGTATTATTTTGCAAATTGTATGTATTTCCATTGTAATTTGAACTTTGAAACTGCTACAACGTCTCAAAGCTTCTTATATGACACTGTAGCTTCACAAGACAGTGACAAAGGCATACATTGGGGTATTGCTGGGGGTAAGAGTTATCTGAGCAAACTTTGACATACACTGATTGTAACAAAATCCCCTATTGAACAGACCATGCGAACCAGCCTGTTCGGTTATTTAGATGTGTGTGGAGTGATTTCGTGCAAATAGCGAGAAAATTAATAAACTGCCGCATCACCCGACCTCCTACTGAGGTTGTGTGGCGCCCATTAACCACCCAGATTTTGCGGTTAACCACAGACTAATTGGGGAATAGCTTGGTGGTCCGCGTTCGTCTACCGAACACGTGGCAGTCGCCATTTTAGATTGTCGAACGCTCAGTGGTAAATGGCGGCGATGCCCTGGAACTCTTTTTCGGATACTTATTCTGCCGAACACCGCTGCTACCTATCAAGGTCCTGAATATGCACTCAGATCCAAGCTATCTGAGCTAGCTTGGTGCTACTTCTAAGTGCTGTTTCTAAGTGTGTAGTTGGAGATATTCTGGAGATAAACTGGAGGTAATCTGAGATATTCAGGAGTATAAATAAAAAGTTAAGATTTGTTACAGTTAAATTATTCTCCTAATTGGAATGGCAGACTTAGTTCAGTGTAACAATTGCTATGCATTTGTTTCACGTTCCACTTTTTGGAGGTTTGGTTGTTGTCTAATCTGTAGACAGTTCTCTATCTTGCGGCAGGAGATTGTATTTTTGAAGTCTGAGATTTGTAAATTATCTGGTGAACAAACTCAGACTGAAACTGCTGCAAAGCCACTGCCGCAGAGACATACTAGGAATGGCAGATGGATTACTGTAGGATCTGGTAGACTTAGAGTTGTGGATAAAAGGCATTTTGCACAGTCTGTTGCTCTTCATAATTCATTTTCAGCACTTTCAGAGTGTAATGGTGTTGTGGAGAGAGGCACTGAGGCTAGTGGTGTTGAGGAGAGAGGCACTGAGGCTAGTGGTGTTGTGGAGAGAGGCACTGAGGCTAGTGGTGTTGTGGAGAGAGGCACTGAGACTGGTGGTGTTGTGGATAGCTTGGAGACTATGGTGAGGCCTAATAGAAAACAGTCATTGTTGGGGAATTCCATTATAAGAGGTGTGGAGATGGACAATGGTGGTCTTGTGAGGTGTCTTCCCGGAGCTACTGCTCACAGAGACAGGAGACGTATCTGTAATATTGTTAAGCAAGCAAAGCAGGAAGGGGAATTGGATGTACTTGTCCATCTAGGGACAAATGACTTGGCTTGCAATGAGGTTTCAGAGGTTAAGGAAGTTTTTAGGGTTTTTGCCAATGATATACGGCAGGTTGCTTCCACACTGTCATTCTCTGAAGTTCTGCCTGTGCATAACACTCAGAACGACAGGCGGATGCGTATTAGGGGCTTTAATTTGTGGCTTGGTGAATGGTGTCGGGAGCAAGGATTTGGCTTTATTTCTCATGGTAGCTAGGTTTGGAATGGAGATAAGCTGTACAAAAAAGATGGTTTGCATCTTTCTCAAAAGGGAACAAATGTTCTCAGTGAGCAGTTCAGAGGTTTTGCTAGGATGTATTTAAACTAGGAGGGGGGGGCAAAAGGGTGATAAAACATCAATCCAATTGTCCCCCAAAACAAGGACAGAAGGTGCCTTTAGCAAGTGTGTTAAAAAATGATAAGCTTAGAGTCATGTCTACAAATGCTCGCAGTTTTGGGAATAAGATCCATGAACTTGTGGCAATAATGGCAACTGATAGTGTAGATTTAGTCGCTGTTACTGAGACATGGTATAATGAGAAAAATGACTGGGACATAGCAATACCAGGGTACTCTTTATATAGGAAAGATAGGGAAGGCAAGAAAGGGGAGGGGTGGCCCTGTATGTGAAGGATAGCATAAAATCTAGCCTAATAAAAGTTAGTGAGGCAAACATAGAGTCCGTTTGGGTTACATTAGAATTTGGTAATCACACAGTATCTCGTGTAGGTGTGATTTATAGGCCCCAGGACATATAGAAGAGTTAGATAATCTACTAGTTGAGGAAATAGCTAAAATGACAATGAAGGGGAAGTTATCATCATGGGTGACTTTAATCTTCCTGATGTAAATTGGAAAACAAAATTAGCTACTTGTGCCAGGAGCACACATATTCTAAACTCCCTACTGGGATTGTCTCTAAAACAAGTTGTTGAGGAGCCAACTCATAAAGAGGCCATACTAGATTTAGTGTTAACAAATGGTGATTTGATATCAGATATTACTGTAGGTGAAAGTTTAGGATCCAGTGATCATCAGTCAGTGTGGTTTAATATAAGAACAGTGACTGAGTCACACCACACAAAAACAAAAGTTTTAGACTTTAGAAAAGCAGACTTTTCTAAAATTAGAATATGGGTAGAGGAGTCATTATCAGACTGGAGCAATTTAAATGGAGTCCAAGAGAAATGGGATTATTTAAAAGTTGCACTATTGAAGGCAACAGAAAATTGCATTAGGCTTGTCAGTAAAAGCAAAAATTCAAGAAACCACTGTGGTACTCTGCAAATGTGGCCAAAATAGTTAAAAACTAAAAGTTAGCATTGAGGAATTTAAAAAAAACCCAGAGTGAGGAAGACAAAATAATCTATAAGATTAGGCAGAAAGAGGCTAAGCAAGTTATAAGAGCTTCCAAATCATACACAGAAGAGAAAATAGCACAGTCAGTAAAAAAGGGGGATAAAACATTTTTTAGATACATAAATGAGAAAAGAAAAGTAAAACAAGGATTAGTTAGATTAAAACAAAAGAAGGAAGGTATGTAGAAGAGGATAAAGGTCAGGCTGACTGCCTCAATGAATATTTTTGTTCTGTATTTACAGAAGAAAATGAAGGAAAAGGACCTCAGTTGAGAAAAGGGATAAATGAGTCATTTATTACACGTGAGTTTACAGAGGAAGAGGTTCTATTTCAACTGTCAAAAGTAAAAGACAAATAAGTCAATGGACCTGATGGAATACACCCAAAAGTTAAAAGAGCTTAAAGTGGTGTACCAGCTAAAAGTCCATTAAATATCTATTTAACCAATCATTGTTAACACAGGAGTAGTCCCAGAAGATTGGAAGTTGGGGCAAACAAGCAGCCCATTTACAAGAAAGGTAATAGGGAGGAGTCGTGGCAAACTATAGGCCAGTAAGCTTCCTACTTCAGTAGTGGGGAAAGTAATGGAAACCATGTTAAAGGATTGGATTGTTGAACATCTAAAAACACATGGATTTCAAGATCAGAGACAACATGGGTTTACTTCAGGGAGATCATGCCAAACTAATCTTATTGATTTTTTTGATTGGTAACTAAAATTATAGATCAGGGTGGTGCAGTAGACATTGCTTACCTAGATTTCAGTAAGGCTTTTGACACTGTTGCACATAGAAGGCTTATCAATAAACTGCAATCTTTTAAGTTTGGATTCCAATATTGTTGAATGGGTAAGGCAGTGGCTGAGTGACAGGCAACAGAGGGTTGTAGTTAATGGAATATATTCGAAGCTTGGACTTGTCACCAGTGGGGTACCTCAGGGATCTGCACTTGGACCCATTCTCTTTAATATTTTTATTAGTGATATTGCAGAAGGTCTTGATGGTAAGTGTACATGTCTTTTGCTGATGATACCAAGATATGCAACAGGGTTGATGTTCCAGGAAGGATAAGCCAAATGGCAAATGATTTAGGTTATCTAGTAAAATGGTCAGAGTTGTGGAAACTGACATTTAATGTGGATAAGTGCAAGATAATGCATCTTGGACGTAAAAACCCAAGGGCAGAGTACAGAATATTTGATAGAGTTCTAACCTCAACATATGAGGAAAGGGATTTAGGGGTGATTATTTATGATGACTTAAAGGTAGGCAGACAATGTAATAGAGCAGCAGGAAATGCTAGCAGAATGCTTAGTTGTATAGGGAGAGGTATTAGCAGTAGAAAGAGGGAAGTGCTCATGCCATTCTACAGAACACTGGTGAGACCTCACTTGGAGTATTGTACACAGTACTGAGACCGTATCTTCAGAAGGATATTGATACCTTAGAGAGGGTTCAGAGAAGGGCTACTAAACTGGTTCATGGATTGCGGGATAAAACTTACCAGGAAAGGTTAAAGGATCTTAACATGTATAGCTTGGAGGAAAGACGAGACAGGGGGGATATGATAGAAACATTTAAATATATAAAGGGAATCAACACAGTAAAGGAGGAGACTATATTTAAAAGAAGAAAAACTACCACAACAAGAGGACATAGTCTTAAATTAGAGGGACAAAGGTTTAAAAATAATATCAGGAAGTATTACTTTACTGAGAGGGTAGTGGATGCATGGAATAGCCTTCCAGCTGAAGTGGTAGAGATTAACACAGTAAAGGAGTTTAAGCATGCGTGGGATAGGCATAAGGCTATCCTAACTATAAGATAAAGCTAGGGACTAATGAAAGCATTTAGAAAATTGGGCAGACTAGATGGGCCGAATGGTTCTTATCTGCCGTCACATTCTATGTTTCTATGTTTCTCTGTACTGCCTCTAATCTCTCCAATATTCCTTTTCCTATGTCTGACCACTATCTGCTGACTTTTGACATTGGCATACCCAATTGACACCACCGTCTGAACATCACTCTCACAGAAACCTCCAAAGTCTTGACCTAAAGCATTTCTCCACTAATCTCCAAACTCTCCTTTTACCTATCTCAAACCTCACCTGTCCTAGTTCTGCAACCTCCTTCTACAATTCCACCCTCTCTTCTCAACTAGACATATGGCACCTTGTACATTTAAACGCCGCAGGCCCCCCCAACAACAACCCTGGCACACCAAGCTCACTCGATACCTCCAAAAATGCTCCAGAACTGCTGAACGCTGTTGGAGAAAGTCTCACTGTGCATCTGACTTTCTCCACTATAAATTTATGCTGAGCTCATACAGCTTGGCTCTTTCCTCTGCAAAAGTTAATTACTTCAATACCCTCATAACCACACTCTCCCACGAACCCAAACGACTATTTTACACATTTAACTCTCTTCTTCGCCCTGCTGTTCCTCCTCCACCTACTAACTTGACCGCCTCAGACTTTGCAACTCACTTCACTGACAAGATCTCTGCAATCAGAGAAGAGATCTCTCATCTTTCTTCTTCCCCTTACAATACTTCCCCTAACTTCACTCCCTCTGCTGTTCTATGTTCATTCGCACCCGCTACATTGGAAGAGGTTTCTGCTCTGCTCCAGTCCTCCCGCCCCACCACCTGCTCCCTAGATCCAATTCCCTCGCATCTCATCCGTACTCTGTCTTCTTCTCTTTCTCCACCTCTCACTAAAATTCTCAATCTCTCTCTCTCCTCTGGTATATTTCAACCATGCAACTGTAACCCCAATTCTAAAGAAGCCCAACCTTGACCCTAACTCCCCATCCAACTATCGTCATATTTCGCTACTGCCTTTTGCATCCAAGATCCTTGAAAAAACGTACTCCCGCCTCTGATGCTTGCCTTCAAGATTTCTCGAGGGCTGCACCGTTCCTGTGGAACTCGCTTCCCTCCTCCGTTAGATGCTCACCCAGTCTCCACTCCTTCAAAAAATCATTAAAAACTCACTTCTTCATAAAAGCGTATCAATTAAACTGTTAATAGCTCCTGACTTATTCCTCTTCTGCAACTGTCATTAGTCTAATACAGTGGTAGTCAACCTTTTTCCACTTACCGCCCACTAATGCATCTTTCTTGATGGAAAAATTTCCTTACCGCCCACCAGTTTTCGCGCAAGCGCGGAATATTTTTTAGAAAGGAGGGTGTTTTAAAAAATACATAAATGAACGTACATTTATCTTTTTATTTCTACTTTATGCATGTTTATAATGTTTTTAACTTTATAAAGTTTAATGAGGAAGCAATAAAGTAAATTGAACTTACCTTTACTAGTGATTAATGAGATCCTTGAGGTTGATGCTGCGAGACTAAATATTTGATATCTGGTTCGATTTTCATAAGGAACAAACGAAGGTCTCCTCTTTCAGTGATAATCGGAAGACTTCTTTGTTTGCTCATAAAATGATTTCTCATCTGTGTGTCAGCTCCCCTCCTCTCCCTCCTCAATTCCCCTTCCCACCTTTTTCCCCTTTTTTCTATTTTTTAACCTTCCTTATAGCAATGCCCAGTAGGAAGGCTGAGCTAGGTAGCCCACTTACTATTATTAGTCAACAACAATTCTCTCCTTTTCCTTTTCTTTCCTTCTCCTTTTTTACAAGTACTCTACTCCTTCTTTCCTCTATACTAGAAGTACTCTACTCCTTCTTTCCCCTATACTAGAAGTACTCTACTCCTTCTTTCCCCTATACTAGAAGTACTCTACTCCTTCTTTCTCCTATTC